GAACGAAAAGTCGAGCGTCGGTGGTGCGGCGGTATCGGCGTTGCAACGATGTATCTCTCTCTCTCTTTGTTTGCGAATATTACGATACCGCGCGCCAAATTACATATCTGTGGTTGCCCGTTGTTTTACGATGATAAACGAATAGACACACCGAGCGATTCGCGGTCCGTACCAGCGGCAATATCCTCCACGCGACAAGGTGGAGAAACGGTGCGGAATACGCGTTGTCGACGGAGAGTTCGCGGCGGAAGAAGAAGCGCGTTCCTCCTCGCGGCGATTACTGAACGAACGAACCGGTCACGCAGAGGAGTGAGAGAAGAGGTGACGCGCGAGAGAGCTGTCCGCGAGACGGCGTCCGACCCACCTCCCTTACCGTAACTACTACTGCGTGTGCCACTCGTAACTCCGGCGGACAGAAGGTGGAAGGTTGGTGTATATGTTGCGCGCGGGCCGGCAGGCAAAGGCAACCACGGGAATATGCGTGTTTCGAGTTCTTCCCCCACGAAAAAGCACCGGGTAGATCCACGGGTAAGAGAAGAGCAGAGCGAGCGAGCGAGCGTGGAGAGCAGCGCCTAGCGCGGTTTTAGATCCTGCGCCGTCCGCAGTCGTTCGCTAACTGTCAATCAGCGCCGTGCTACACGAAGGAGTGGGAGGCGCGCAGTCACGCCCATCGAACGCGGCCAATGCGTCCTCTGGTCCCGCCCATCTCCCTACCACCGGCCCACGAAAGTAGCGCCGCGCCGGCGAAACCGTGAACCACGGGATTCTCCGCCATCGCTACACCACTACCAACGAGACCGCCGACGGACGACGACGACGACGAACGAGACGAGAGGCCGACGAACACGAGGACGAGGACGACGCTGTCGTACACGAGAATGCGTTGTTCCGCTTTTACCTTCTCGCACAGAGGAAAGCCCGTATCGGTTAAACTAGACGCTTCTATCACGCTCTCCGCTCTGTATCCAGGTTTCTACCGTTCACGGTAGAATCTTGTTACGCGTTCGATGTGATGCACGAAGATTGTACGAAGCCAACGGAACAAGCGTACCGTTCTACCCGTGTCCGTGAAACGACGAACAAGTGATAGCCTTCTATGTATGTTCCTGCATTCGTTTGTAGGAATCGCGACTGTATCATTGACGTTGAACGAATCCAACCGTGTGTGATAAAGAATATATTCCACGACTAACCTATGGTTACCACCAGTAAACGAGAGTGTCGAGGCGAGCTAGGCAGTTTCTTCTAAACGCTTGCTGGCGAGTCCTACGAATCTTAACGCCATCGCTCAACTTCCGCGCGCTCTTCGTATTGTTCTAACGGACAGTCGAGGAATACTCGACATTTCTCGTTCGACTCTGCCAAGGCGAGGAAACCGGTGCGCGTATATCGCGCCAGAAATAGTAGAATAGCCGCGGAGATAGGAGCGCGTCTCTTGGCAAGGAATTCGTCGCGCTAGCTCGACGTCTTAAATAACGCAGCCGATGATCCTGACAAATAACGAGGCTCGGCTAAATGCCGGCCGTCGGACGGACCCGTTGGAACGCGTTCGAAGACTCGACGAATTTACAGAATCGACCAGCGCGTATCGACGCTGTCATTCTCGGCTCGATGCCATATTTCATTGCTCGGGCAGAAGGGGTGTTAGAGCCGCAGTAGGGCGAGAGGTTGGAAAGCCCTCGACTTTCGCGCGTTAAACATCGTTTCGTTTTATCGTTCTTCTTTTTTCTCTTTTCTTTTCCTTTTTTTTCTCTCTCGCTACTTTTTTTCTCTTTTCTTCTCTGTTTTTTTCCTTTTTATTATTCCCTGGTTATTAATTCAACGCGTCTGGTCGCGGGACGGCCAGCCGGCGGCGGCGGTCGATCGAGCTTTGAATGAACCGAACGAACAGCTGACTCCACGCAGGAATTGGGTCGCGAACGTGCGGTTTCGAACTTTGAATGGTATTCGGCGTTGGGTGAGTAATAGCGACAGGAGGCGGCGGAGGCGGCGGAGGGCAGAGAGGCGGCTGTCACCGACATCA